ACCTGCCTTGCAAGTGTGAGGTCCTGAGTTTAATTCCCAGTACCATAAAAATAAATAAATAAATAAATAAAAATTTCATTATAAGCAGGAATTTTTCTTTATTTTTCTTAGAATTTACTCTGTGTCCTATGCATGGTAACTGATGTTTAAATTATAGATAATCCTTTGCTTTTGTCATATAGCTTGATGATTGACCCTATTTTAAATTTCAAAATGTATTTGTAGTTCAAGTCTTACATGGATTAATATAGACAGCTATCCACCCTAGGAGGAAGATGTTAACACTAATACCGTTGTATAAATTGTAAATAGAGCCTTAGACTACTCAAGGGTCTTAGCCAAAGTCATGAGTGATAGAGGTGAGACATGAATGCATGTGGTCAAAACCTAGGGCCAGATCTTTTTGTCATATCTTGGTCCTCTGTCTTTTACCTAAACCACATACTTATTTAAAAATTCACACACATAGATTTTGGAAGAAAAGATTTTCCAAACCACATCCTAAAAGGATATTTTAAAGCATCCTTATTTCTTTCACCTGCCAAAGAATACCTCAACACATGATAGACCCATGCTGTTACTCTTTTTGTAGATTAATTTTCAGAGTACTACTGCCAACTCAGATGACAGTTACAGATCAATGCCTGGTAGTTACTTGTTCCTTTCCTGTATCAGATTTGCTTGGTAAAGTTCTACTACACAATATTTGGTAATGAGCAATCTTCAAAACAGTCTGGGAAACTTGGAGTGACACTTCTGTTTCCTTGAAAGTTGATAGGTTTTGATGAGATTTCTCCTGAAGCAAACCTGACTGAAACCCAGACCTTAGAAATATAGAGCAACTGTGAGAGGACGGTTGCCAGTCTAACAGAAATAGTTCCAGGCTAGCAGAAAACATCGAGCGCAATCTTCAGGATGGCCCAGGGAGAGCCCCATTTCTCTCAAACCAAACTTGGCTGCTCCAGAAGACTTATTGCTTAGTCTTCAGTGGCTTTCTTGAGCTAATAAAAATGTGTTTGTTGTCAGAAGTTGTTGACTTGAGCCTTATACAGCTCAGCATATTTATATGGTGTTACTTTTTGTACCTTCTGCTTATAGTTTTCTTTTGGATGGTTAAGACCAAGTTAAAGCAAGACCTATATAACTAAAAATGTATCTTTTGCTGTCCAACAAGATCAGTCAAATCCCCTCCGGATTTAGCCTGGAGCCATGTACAGCACCTTGTAGAACTTTTGTCAGTGTCAGTCATCTCAGGAGTCAAGGCCATTACTTGACCAATTTGCTCTCTGTGAAAGCCTGAGAGAATGTTTTCTCTCTAGGTGACTCTCCTTAGGCACTCTATACATTGTTGATCACTTTCCTCTGTGGCCCCATAATCTCTTTGCCAGTTATACTGATGACTTACTACATTTATGGACTATTGGAATATATTGGGTTGTTTTGCTGAATTCAAGTACCTACAATCTTTGGATTGGCTTCAAGCATGAAAAAGTCCTTTAAAGATTTCTCTAAAATACAGCTTCTCTAACTGCAATGGAACACCCATATCTGACAAAACAAAACAAAAAAGGGGATATGTTGGGAGCCACAAAGCTAGGAAATTGATCAAATGTGTGTAGATGGGACGAGGGCTCAGTGCCTAAAGCAAACAAGCTGCTTTACTCCTGAGATGAACATCTTGTCTAGTTAAGGTCAGTATTAGTCACTAAGCAACCTAGTGTCATGTGTTACTAACTTTGCAAAAGTATAACTAAAGACTGTTTTGTTGATATGTATATGTATATATGTATATATATATATATATGTGTGTGTATATGTAAAATATATATATATATATTTTCATATATATATATATGAAGGGATAGATATACAGCTACTCTCTCTTGACTCATTAAGAAGAAAGGTTCGTACTAATATTGCTAAGACAAAGATATCATGTCTACATCTTGTCCTCTGAATAACTACTGTAAGACAACAATATGCAACATATTAATTATTGTAACTATCCTACTAACCTGTTTTGAAACTATTTAATTGCAATTTTATCTTTTTTCTCATTAAAATGAATAAAAAATAAAATTAAAAATTAAAAAATAAAAATGTTTTTGTTGTAAATCTGGAAGGCAGAAGAGTGGAAAAAATTATTACGAGAGTACAAAGTCACAGGAGTTCCATGCCATCAAAGCCATCACACCTAAGGATAAGTATACATTAGGGGACCTTGACAAAGACCCAAGAGACAATGGATAGGGATAGTGTTTCCCAGCAAAGAATAGGGATAATATTTCTTTTGATTCACTTTTCTAGGTCAATGTCATCATATCTACTGGCCTTTTATGATCAAATACAAACATAAGGCTGAAAGAACTTTGAACTGGTTAGCTGTATAACTACTCTGTGTGGGGGGTTGGGGAGTAGGTATATGTGTGTGTTGGAGGAAAACTTTTACATTAGTTGTTTTTTTCTTTTTTCTTATTCTTACTTTTGACAAATTGTCAGAAAATTTCTCCAGGAAATCTCTTCTCCTATCCTCTAACATCACAGCATGTTTGTGCCCTAACTTTTACTTTTAGAGCTCTGAGTGCAGTTTGAGTCTCACCTGTCTTTTGGGGTGTTACCTTAAGGCAACACCTATCTCTCCTTTTTGCTCACACATACCTTCAAAACAGATCAAGAAAATAGGAAGAGAATGCATACAGATTCACAAATATTCCATGAATTTGTTGTATAGTAGTTAGATAAATATTTATAACTTTTTTCATTCATGAAAACATGCCGAATATTGGTACTTTGGATACAGAGACAGACATAGGAGCACAGTCATGAACAACTGTGATGCTTGGTGAAATGCTTTTCCTGACTGGGTAGAGGAGGTGAAACTGAGGTTGGAGGGCAGCAGAGGCAGTAGTAGGCATTGCTGGTCATTTGTTAGAATATGATGTGTTCAGGGTCACAGGTGTGAAGCCAGCAGGACTCATTTAAGGACCTAGAGAACTCAGTATGGCAAGAGCACAGAGAAGGAAAGTGGCAGGAGACATTAAAGAAAATAGGGAAGACCAAATCAAGGACACTCATTTGTTTCCTGTAAATGGGTTTGTATTGCAGGAGTTTTAGGCTCTATTCCATGTATAAACAGATATGTCATAGGCAAGTCTAATGCAGACTTAACGTTAAGTAATTGGCTGTAATTCTTTTTTTCCTTTCTGCAATACATTAATTTCCATCTTTATATTCTTTGCCTTTTCTTTCACTTCTACGTCTTCAGATAAAGAAACGGTGATGCATTTGTGTAGCTCCAAGTTAGCTGTATTTCCATGCTTTTCTGTGGTTGACTTAGCTAGTGCCATGTTACATGAAGGCCTATAAAATAATTGGAAGGCACTATGGAAGCTAAAATGTTAGAGAAAAGAAAGTTTCAATTTCAACTGTCTTGATGAAAATCTAGAAGCCCTATAGAATAGACAGTCATACATTAAAGAATCAACTCTAACTTTTCAGTCAGTATAGAGGATTAGATTTTCAAATAATTCCCAGTTTGGGGGGTAATGAGTCATTTTCTCTTGTAGTTTCAATAAGAATTAATAGCACTTGCAGGAATATGCATGACTCATTAAATGCTCTATAGCTAAATTCGTATTTAGATGGCATTTCCAGAAGAAAATCACGCCTTTAGGGAAATAAGTATTTGAGTTGTCAAAAAATCAACAGTTACCTAATTGCTGTGGGAAATACAATGCATTTGTGGCAGTTAGGCTACTGAGGAAGACTTGGTTTGCCCAGGCCTTCTGTGGTGGTAACTTCCTCCTCCAGTGGGAGAAACTGCCAGTAAAGGAAGAAGGACAATTTACATACCCCAGCAAGGCTAATCTACCCCAGGTCTTAGTCACAGCCTGCCTGCTTGAGACATCCCGGGAAATCCCTGCTTGGAGGAGAAAAGTTAAAATCAGTTTCTGCGCTTAGAAGCTCATTCTGTGTAAGTCACATAGAGTCACCTCTGCTCATTTTCAATAACAAATTATCATTGCTGTGTTCTAACATGAGTTAATGGTGGACTGTGACTTTCAAATTGTGTATGATTGGTCTCACTCTAAAAGACACCTTAAGAGAATCTTTTCCCCATCTTTTGCTTTTTGCTTTTCAAGTCTCGCAAAGAAAAAGCTTCCATGGCACATGTGGCAGAAGGCACAGCTGGAATGAGTTTTGCAGGAAGTTCTGCAGAGCATGTAGAGGTAAGAAACACATTTCTGGGGGTGAATTGGTGGCATCTAGCATTGATACATTTCCAGTGGTTAACTGTGCTAGAATAAATAAGAATAGAAGTGGCTAGTTTGTTAGATAGCATCTGCTCTGTATTTCAAGCAATGTTATCAGACATAGATAAAATATCTGGGTGACTAATGTATCGCCTTTAAACCTTATCTTTCTTTTACAAAATGATTCTATTAAATCTGTTCAAACTCTTTTCAGTTTGCCAGTTCAGTGTGTTCCATATTTTGCCCTTAACTTAGGACGATATTGCTCAATATAAAAAAACTAAAAAGAATATTGTATGGTTGTGAATAAAGCATTTAGCAATAGTGTTTATATTAAAGTATTTATTTACAATTGATGTACTGTAACTTTTGTTCAGTTACTGAGTGAACCCTACACGAAGTAAAAATCACTTAAAATGTATCTTCTTTAAGAAAAAAAAAAAAGATTCCCAAAGCAAGAGGAGAAACTAAGTGGAACTCTGTTCATTTAAAATTTAGGTATTTAATTTTATTGTTAGAACTTGAGTATATGAGAGGTTGGTCTGGGTGTTTGAGAAAGAAATGCTCAGATTCACTGAACATAGGTTATATTTCATAAGATGTAATTATAGAAAATTACTTGTAGGAAGTAACTATTCTGAACACAGGTCTTTACTAGAAGCCAACAACTAAAAATCTTTGTATTTATTGAGATATCAGATGTTGTTATTAACAACTATAAAACAGAACAAGCACAAATGGAATGTTGCTCCAGGATGTTTGTATCTGATTGATTTTTGCTTTGTTTTAAAACACCCTGAGGTATATAAGCCCTTGTTAAAATACTAATAAATTTATATTCATTATTTTTTGTCCTTTCTGTTCTCTTCATCCTAGTTTCAGAAATTAGTACCCCTGAAATTACAAATAGATTTTGTTGAAGATTTAGAACCTAGCTTTTCAGGAATTCTCATTTTTAAATAAAAATTAAGCATTTTACAATTTTTTCAGAGAAAACTATTTGTGAGAGAAAACCACAGCAATAACAACACACTGTCTTATTGCTCAAAACTCTCCTACCAACTTGTTTTGAAACTCTATTTTATTGTAATTCTTATTTTTTTCTCCTTAAAATACAAAACCAATAGATTTCCAGAAGGCAAAAGCATACAGATATTTACTGCCACATATTTGTGTCTATAACACAGATAGAACAAAGGACATTGGAGGACCCAAACCTCACATTTCTAATCATGATCTAATTTAGGAGCATACTGACCTTAAGTAGAAATAGTGATTACCTAAGATATTTGTTCAAAACAGAGATGCCCTGGCTCCCTTCCCTGGAAGTCTGACCTCACACGTAGAATACTGTTGCATTCCTTGCTTGGTGAGCTCAGCGGTGACTGAGGTTCTCTTGGTGTGCCCATCACTGGTCTAAAATCCAGGTTCCCTGCACCTCTGCCGTAGTAGGCTAAGGACAAGTAAGCAAGGTTGCAACTCAGCATTTTTTGATTTAAAGATACTTAATGTTTAGCAAAGCCTAACCCAGTTTCTTAAAATTCTTCCCCAAAAAAGTTAAAGTCAACTTTCAGGACCCAACATACTTGTTACCTGGGTTTTGTGTCACTTTTGATGTTCAGGCAAACCAGCTTCCTGAGGATAACAGCATGTATAATTACTTTGAATTCATTGATCTATAGTCTGCTGCTACTTAACATATGGTTTTTCTTATAACAAGTGACTAAATAGAAAGAAGATTTTAAAAACTAAGAACATTAATCTATACAGGTATAAAAACTCAAACTCTAAAATATGTGAGACAATACTAGGTCTGGTGGTGTGCGCCTGTAATCCCAGCACCTGGAAGGTTGAAAACAGGAGGATCACTATGAGTCCAATCTACATAGTGAGACCTTATAGACCCTATAGCAAATACATACATAAAATACTTGAAACAAGCAGGTGGTACACGCTTGCAACCTCAGCACTTGGAAGGTTGAGGCAGGAAGCTTACAGCAAGTTCAAGGCCAGCCTGAACTCCATAGGGAATTCAACACCAGCCTGACTTACATAGTGAGATGCTGTCACACATACACATACACACACAAAAATGCTTGAGACATACATAAGTAGAGAAAAATAGAAACATACCGTTTCTTAATTTATTTCTATTTTTTAAAAAATTTTGAAATCCCACATTGATTGCAAAAGAGCTGTTCCTTGAATATATTTCTGGAAAGAAGCAACATATTTGAAAATATTTCTTATTTGTAAATGCCTTTAAGCAACTGGATGGTCTACAGCAACTATGAAGCTTGAAGCTGAATATAGCTTAGGCACTGCTCTTGTCACTCAGTTCTTTGTTTTGTTTATAACCCAGAGATAAGCCCACAAAACTATGGTGTTACAAGAGAGAAAATGGACCATTGTGTGAATGTCGCTAGTGGTCAATTTAGCCAGGTGGCAATCAATTTCCAGAGCTTTGATACTTTCTTTAAATAAATTCTCACATTCCTGAAAAAAATAAAACTGGAAAGAAAAATGATTAACATTTTCATTATACCAGTAATCTATTATTGGTTTAAACTTCTGCTTTAATGGTTTAATTCAAAATCTTGTTAAAATTACATAGTAATTGATAATTTATGCCCATTTCTACATTTGTGTCATGACCATTGATGCTTCTACTAATGACCTACATCACAGTTATACAGTTGTGAAATCAATTTGCTACATAAGAGCTGTCCCTAGAAACATTTGATTTCTATAGGCCATTATCTTCTTGTCTTTTGTTGAAACGCGATTGAAATTAAAGTTTGCAATAGATATATAACTATGTTCTCTTAATTCAAGAATAGAGGGATTTGTTCTAACAGTATTTGTAGATGGGATATCATTTCTGCATCTTGTACAACAAATAACCACTAGGAAGGCAGTATGCAATGTGTTAGTGATTGGAACTGTCCTAACAATTTGATATGAAACTGTCTCATCATTATTTATTTCTCAATAAAATTATGGAAAATAATAAAAATAAATAAAAACAAAATTTGCATGTTTATTGCACAGATATATTTATAATTTATTGGAGAGTTATTTTGGTAACTAAATTCTACAAATATAATGTGAAGCTGATACATGAACAAGTCCCTATAAAGAACTTGCAATGTAAGGATTAGTACTCACAAAGTCAGATTTTTTTTTGTTTGTTTGTTTTGTGTGTGTGTGTGTGTGTGTGTGTGTGTGTGTGTGTGTGCTCTTTACTGGGGATTAAACTCAAGATCTTTTGAATGTTAAGCACATATTCTATGAGTGTGAGTGAGCTACAAATCCCCAACCTGAGAATCAGATATTTTTTGACACATTATAGGAGTTGGCTTAAAGGTATGGGATTTGTGAGTCAGTACTCCTGTTTATTTTGTAGATTATTTTATCTCCATTTTTTTAAGTGTGCTCAATCATCAAGAAGAAAGAATTTGACAAGTCCTCTTGAACATAAGATAAGATGCTTGGAAAAACAGAGAAAAGAGGTAATTTAGAAGTAATAGTTAACCACATACGTTATCCTTTAGTATCTTGTATTTTTATTTTTAAGCAACAATATCTCTAGGTCATTGGGATGCATTATCTTGAAAGGAAATGTTTTCTAATCAGTATTTGTGTGATGTTGAATTTAAAAAAGACACAGTCATAAGTCTGTTAATTATAGTCACATTTCTCCCCCAAAGTAGATAGCCCTCCCACATTAACAATGTGAGCTTATCACGTGTATCCTTCAACAAACCTTGAACATTGATTTACCTATTAACTCCACCTGTTACAGACTTTGAGTACAATGATTTAGATGCTATGACATTATGAACAAGGCATCCTAATACACACGAATAAGGAGTATTGTCTTAAGGATACATTTACGTCTAAAATGTTATTGAGAATGAACTGGTACTGTTAGTTGTACTGTTTTTAGTCTCCGTGTTTAAAGAATATTAGAATATCTTTACTCTTCTTGACAGAGGAGTAAATAAAAATTTTAGCAGTTTTAGCATTCTATCTGTCATCAGTTCTATAATACCTTTTCTTGTCCATTCTGTTTCATTGTTCTCCTCTGTGGCACTTTCTACTTCTCTTTGATAGTGCATAGAATATTGTGTCCTTGTAAGGGATTACTGAACAGTAGGAAAGTAATATTACTATAGCAAAAGAATGTTAATCCTTAAAATGCCAACGGATCAGATATTTTTATACAATAATATTATGTAACTGTGTATTAAATAACTACATCTTTATCCACCCTAAGAATTACTTAGTTTGTCACTGTTATTCTAGATTAAGTATTAGTTTTATAATTAAGAGTCAGTTTTGCTGGATTTTGATCATCACAACTATATTCTTGGTGTTTGTCCTATATTGGTGTCATAATAAATGTAGAAAATTGCAAATTTCCCCTACAAAAACTAAAACAGGTCATAGTGTTGTTGCTTCTAATTAGAAGATAGTTTAAAAATCTTAAAGTATTGCTGCCAATTATTGTCTTGTGGTAAAAATGTCATTCTTTGAAAATCTATACTTTCAAAACTGTGATATCTATTCACTATGTTTCACAGACAATGCACTGATCTTTTGAAGCACATTATTTCTAGAAAATGATTAACAGATGATAAACTTTAATATGATTTTCTTTAAAGTTAACCAATGCATTATAGTCAGGATAAGCACATAGAAAAATACATAAAGGTTTAGGAAAATACCTTTCATAAATCAGTAGCAATTGTACATCTTACAAAAAACTATCCAAACTTACAAATTTTACAGATTCTAGTTATATTTGAAAACATGATAGAAGCTGAAATAAGAGAAGTTAATGATCATTTATTCAACTGACTTGTCAAGGCTAATTTTTAATAGCTTTTCATATGTGAAAAGTTTTAAATATGTGAGAAAGCATCTGATTAAGTCATCCAAGCCCAACTAGAACTTAGTGGAAGGAATACTGTGCCCTCCTATGGCTTTGAAAATCTCAGCAACCTCAAAATATAATTGTATGTTTCCCCCATTACCAAATGGGCAGAAATATTTTATTAATTTGCTAAATTTTACTAATTTCAGCTCCTGGAAGTTAATCAGCAATGGGATCAGCAGTTTAGAAATATGAAAGAGTTGTATGAAAGAAAGGTAAAAATCTTCTCTCTTTCTGGGATCTTTGTGATCCTGGTGGGACCACATATGTGAAGACTCTCCTGATTGTAGCTAAAAGAGACTTGTGGATTCCCAAATATTGAAAAAATGAGGGGCAGAGGGAAAATGATGGGTGCAGCAGTGGCCTCCCGGCTCCAAAGATTAGTGGACAGTGGCTGTGAATTGTCCTAAGCATCACTAAAGACAGTCTCCAGTGGGGATGCAGTTCTTATGCACATTTATTCGACCTCAGGTGGAGTCTCCTGGCCAAACTTTTGTTACTAGCAGCCATAAATACACAGGTTATAGCTGAGGGTAGGGACAGTTTGAAGTCCATGTTGTGTTATGATTTTGATTGACTGTTGATTGATTGATTGACTGATTTTAGAAACAGTCTTGCGGGTTGGCCAAATAGCTCAGCAGATTAAAGTGCCCACAAGCAAGCGCAGGGGCCAAGGGTTCAATCCCTCAGCCTGCTGTGCCGCTCCCCCTTTCCAGGGCCCCTGGGCATGCTGAAACACAAAGAGACTGGCATGGTGGCGCACACCTGTAGTCCCAACTCTTGGGAAGCTGTAAAACAGGCAAAAAAACTACAAGTCCAATCTAGTAGTGAGATGCTGAACACCCTCTGGACCCTTCCCTAAAATACAAAAACATGTTGTTATGTAGCTCAAGCTGGGCTTGAACTCACTGCATAGCCCAGACTGACCTTGAACTCACAGTGATCCTCCTGCCTCAGTCTCCTGATTGCCAGAATTACAAATGTGCACTACCATACCTAGCTTATGATTCTTTGATTAAATTGCATCTGCCTCTTTTCCATACAGAAACAAATAGTGCTAACAGTGAAAGTGAAGGGGCACCTCCCACTTATACCAAAGCATCTACACTGTACCCTTGGCTTTGGTAGAAAGGAATGTGTGGAGAAAATCTTCTTGGATAGGTAAAAGTCAGTTTATAATTTAAAAGTATTCTGTCTTCAAAAAGAGAAAGTAAATTCCCCTAAATAATTCAGTATTAAGCAATTTGACCACAAGTGAGTAATTCAACAGCACAGTTCCCCATTTTGATACTCAGAGTATTAAATTTAGAAGGTGTAAAATAATGCTCCCACTGCACCAGGCAATAAATCAGGGTACCTTGCAGTATCTATTCGGGAGTACTTGTGGACTCCAGATTTTAAAGACAAAGATTCAAAGAGGCTGTCCCAGGTGCTTTCCTGAATTACTTGAAGGCAGTGTTGTGAAAACAGCTGTTTACAAGTGTACCATTCCCACTTGGGAAGAAGAGGGTCTCCCCCTGGGCCTGAAGTCTAATTTGGTGTCCAGCAGGAGGTCAGGTGCTGCAGGTTACTGAGAGGCGGAAGGTCATGTCTACTTTCCCTGTGCGGGCTGTTCTCCCTGTGCCCTGACCCCCACTGCCTTCTCCTGATCAGCCAAGGCCCCTCTTGAGGGCTGAGAATAGGTGACCAGCAGAGACCGCCAGTTGAGGCTCTAGGTCTTCATTCCCTCTGAAGTAGGGGTCGGGGGCAGACCCAAATGCTACTTCCATGGGAAGTGCACACTTTTCACCGTTGACCAAGCTGCTTTTTTAAATTTCAAGTCGTATGATCTGTGTTATGGGCTCTGGGACGTGGCAGTTCTCAGAGGATATGTTGGAGAGCGACATATCCGTTCTCAGTGCATAATCTGGGAAAAAAAATCACGGCGTGGGGGGTTTCAAGACAGATGTCTGCAACCGTCTGCGACTGCCTTCTTCAGGTCACTGAGTTGAAAATGAAACTAGTCGCTGCAGAAAGAGTCTGGGACACCGTGCGGAGGGAGCAACAGCAGCTGGAGCTATCCCAGAGCCAGAGGCTGGACCCAGGGCCACGAGCCCTGCTAGAGGTGGGTGGAGCCCTCGCAAAAAGGGTCTAGGGAAAGTTGGGGGGAGGGGTGTCCTGTTAAAAACCTATGGCTGTGTTAAAGTCAGCTTGCTGCTGAGCCAGAGCACTGTGCGAGGGTGTGTGGGTTGGGCAAGTCCTGCAGCACCCTCCGGAGGGCCGCTTCTCTGGAGTGGGGCGGGGCTGGGGCTGACTGAAGGCTTCCTCATACATTTCGCAACAAGCAGCATTTGCCAGGCCAAGCGGGAAAGTGAAGGAGTCCGTGCTTTAGGCGATATCTTTCAAGGCATCTCAGTCTAGGAGAAAAAAAAAAAAAAAATTCCCTTTTCCCACGTATTGTTTTGTTTACTAGTGATAATGACAAGAGTGCAATCCACTCTACAGAATTTAACAAACAGGATTACTGTCCTTTTTCTTCTATTGCTGGTCAAATCCTTTGGCAGTTTGCCTCTGTGGTACATTCCATCCAAGCCGTTGTTATTTTTGTTTTTGTTTTTATTTTTACATTGAGAAAAAGACTCCAAATTGCTCAGATTAATCTTGAATTTGTGATACTTTTGCCCCAAATCTTCAGTGTAACTGGGATTACAGGTACACACCACTGTGCTTGGCAGATGGTGCTTTCGTGCCCACAACAATAAAACATTTCAGAAAGCATGTGTCCATCTTTATCTCACTTAACACTGTCAGCCCACTGTTGGGGAAGCTATGTTTGTCAAGGAAAGAGGAGAAAGCTGCCCTGCTCCCGGCGCACACCCCATAACCCAGCTCATTGGGAGGCTAAGGGAGGAGCACCACAAGCTCAAGGGCAGTCTGGGCAATTTAATGAGACCCTGCTCAATATTAAATAAAATAAGAATTCACTGGGTTGAATCCCGGGTTCTGAGCAAAGGTAGATGAGAACGCAGAAGCGTAAAGCAGGCTAGAGACTTGGCAACATCCACGATGCATTTCCTAAAAGACAGCTCTTAAAGCCTGCCTTGAAATTCTAAGGCTTTCTCAATCCCCGCCAAGAACTAAACAGCCACACTTGAGAGGACCAATTTTTCCTAAAATGGATTCTACTTTTTTTCCTAATTTTACTTCCGGTGATTGGACTTCATGGCTGTCCTAGAAAATGAGAAGGAAACATTAAACTCCGAAAAGTGTCTCATTTTTAGGCATAGTAAAAAACAATAGTAAGTATGAGTATTCTCAGGTGAAGTTTTATCACTGCTATTGTGAGGCACTGTCAGTATTTTAAAACACACCCTAATCTTCAGGCCACTTCGAGGATCAGCAGACAGTGCCAGCCCAGGTTTGCCCACCTGCTGAGGATGGCTTCATCATAGTGAGCGAGGAAAGCGGGGTTCAACAACCACCTGTCTGTTCTGAGGCAGTCACCTCCTATCCCAATTACATCCTGACAAGAAATTTTGGTAATTTTTCCTTCCTGTAGTTGGAAGTCATTTTCCTGTTGAAGTAATTTCCTCTTAAGTTATGCTAAATAAGAAAATGATGGGTTCATTTTCCAAGTGTGTAAACTCATTTCATTTAAATAAGAGCAAATAGAAATACTTCCACTTTTGAGGAAAATTATTACCTAAATTAGATTGCCTTGAGAAATACTAATGAATAAAATAATCCATTACTTTAACACATATATATTAGTTATTCTCTCATCCTGGGTTACTTATATTCTGCAATATATATTTTATTAGACCATGTTCTCATTAAGAATCCAATCTACAAAAATTATACTGTTAACTATATACAATTAAGAGATAAGTGACATATAAATGTCTAAATATAGAGTCTGTTAGCTCTAAAAATTAATCTTTAATTATTTAAAACACCAGACTTTCTGATGACCTAAAACATGGTAGGCATGTGAGCACTGGACTAATTGTTTTTTACCTTTAAAATAATAATTACAGTGGGACTGGGGAGATGGCTCAGTAGAATAAGCACTTTCCTGGCAAGCACAAGGGCCTGAGTTCAATCCCTGGTTCCACCAAAAAATAAATAAATAAATAAATAAATAAATAATTACAGTAATCCTGTCTGCTCTAAGTAATCATCTTTAGGGAAGGATCTTACTTTTCTAAAACTTATTTCCTTTGACCAGTACAGAATTATATAGGAATGGGATCTGAGATATTTAGTATTGCTCATTGCAATAACAAATTTTGCATTTTAGGATTTTCAGATTCTTTTAATGAGTCGTGTATTCATTATCCAGCATTAATACAGGGAAACTGGATTATTGGGCAGATCCACTTACTTCACCATTGAAAGAGAGGATTAAAGATTTTGCTATTATTTTCTGGGATCCTCTAACTTCTAAGAGGTAGCACCAGAGGTTTTATACATAAAGATGTCTTCAATCCTAACTTTGTCCTTCCCACAAAGAATATTGCTGAAATGAATGCTAAAAGAGAAAATCTGGCAGGGTCTCCATCTGTCCTGTATTTCAGAATGGTGACACTGAGATAGGCCCCCACAGCTGAAGTATGAGGATTCTAATAGTGTCCTCTGCTTTGACTTTTATTGATTTTCATCTTGTTTTCTTGCTCTTTACTTCAGAAGGAAAAGGACAACGTAAATGAAGAAATACAGCAATTGAAGAAAGAAAATAAGCTTTTGAAGGAAAAAAATGCTCTTGCAAATAAGAGGAGGGAACATTATGAAAGTGAAATAAAACGCCTCAATAAGGTACCAGGTTGGGTTAAGCTGGGAGAACAGAGTGAAAGCCTCCTGTAGAAAAATGTGTTCCTCTTGAGAGTCATGACATTATCTAAGATGCATGCGGGTCCCAGCATCATAGTTCATACAGAATGTAACTTTAAGCACAAAATGGCCTTTGTAACTTTACTAGTAAAGATTGCAGCTTCCAGCCCATACTTGGCTAAGGAGGCTTTTGGGAATTCTTATTCCTGCAAAGGTTCATCATGAAACACAGAAAGGAGGAGAAATTATAGAGGAGATAAAGACATTGTAGTCTGAAGAGACAGATAAAGCAAGTAGCTGTCTGCGCAGCAGTATGTCTCTTGACCAATTACAAAAGCTTCTTCAGGAAACACGCTATTGTTTAAAACAGTCACTGTGGGGACAAATGTGATGCCTGACACAGAGAAGCATGCTTAATGCCAAACTTAAGGTCTGTGAAGCTCTCCCCACAATAAATCTAACTCCTTTCTCTGATGAGGGTGGCAGGAGAAAAAGTCAGGGCTCCTCAAGTATGCAATTGACCTTTAAAACATGCTCAATTTTTTTTTTTAAATTTTGGACTGAGTTCTTTTGGTTGTAGTCAATGACTGCTAAGAAGTGTCCTTTAAGAATCCTCAAATGCCCAGTATGCACGTGTTTGTTGCAAAGTTGCTTTGCAAGTGTGTTGCCATATTAGATCTATGTGGGGCACACATCATTCAAAAGAAGATGGGACGTAGAGGTTTGCTGCATAAAAAAGGTATTTTAGGAAATGGTTTAATACTTTGGCTCCAAACTCTTCAAAGAAGGAACTCTGAAGTACTGCAAAAAGATGAGCTTTCTCTCTCTCTCTCTCTCTGTGTGTGTGTGTGTGTGTGTGTTGTATATAGAAGTGTTTTATGTACTATTTTTCTAGTGAAAATGTACATTATTTTCTTTTGATTTTTTTTCTATGAATCAAGCCATTTGTGAAACATGGGAATGTTGTATCAGGTGGTTGGACTAAGAAACACATCTCTACAGACTTCATATCAAAGTAACAAAAAACACTCTTACAGGAGAAGTATGCAATTGACCTTTAAAACATATTCATTTTTTTTATTTTGGACTGAGTTCTTTTGGTTATAGTCAATGACTGCTCAGAAGTGTCCTTTAAGGATCCTCAAGTGCCCAGTATGCACATGTTTGTTGCAAAGTTGCTTTGCAAGTATGTTGCTATATTAGATCTACCTGGGGCACAAGTCATTCAAAATAAGATGGGAGGTGGTGGCTTGCTGTATAAAAAAGGTATTTTAGGGGGTCAGGGAAATAGCTCAGTAGAATAAGAGCTTGCCTGGCAAGCGTGGGGTCCTGAGTTCAATCCCCAGTACTGAAAAAGAAAATGGAAAAAAGGTATTTTAGCCTTTAAGGGTAAAAGAAATTGTTCAGACATAGAATTCCAGGGCTAACATATATTTCTCTGATATTCTTTATTAATATGTTCTCCACCAATAAATTAGAAAAACTAAGGATAATTGGAATTGTATTTGAAAGCTCTCTGATTTTTATACCATATTAAGTTTTCTGACATTCTCTAACTCATTTGTGTAAATGTAGGTTCCAGGATACAAAGACTATAGAACATACAATACACAAAATTTGCTGTGTTGCTCAGGTCCTTGTGCAAGCATCATTTTTGTTGTGTCTGTATACATAGTTCACAGAATTTTTAAAAATTAGAACAATAGTAATTTTAAAAATCTGGTGATTTTAATCATAAAATCACAAGAAAAATGAAATTGAGTAAAATTTGTATCTTTGCACAAGTATTATATTCTCAAAGAAGATTTTTCTGACTCTTCTAATTTAAATTCTATATGTTACTTCTCCTATATCTTAATTTATTTTTTTCTTGGAACCTATTACTGCCTATGTGTTTGTGTCTCACTTGTATTACCCTTTCTGTTTTCTGCTTCCCACTTCTGATTGTAAACTCCCTGAGGATAGGATTTCTGCATTGCTGAAATTTCAACTGTACCTTAAGCAGGGTTCAGACCCACAAATTACTTAGGGGGTCTACAAATAGGTCTTGGTTCTCTTAAAATCAGAAGGAAAGGTAAATGTTTAACTTATAAACAGGTTTTCATACACTTTTATCCTTATAACTATGCAGTTGCAAAATATGTATTTTTGTTGAGTATGGGACTCACTTGCTAACACTCAGAATGGCCCAAGGTTTTTCGGTTTCATTCACTGTTGTACCCCAAGAACAAGAAGAACTTTCTCACAGGAAGTTCTTAAGTATATGTTGAGTGGGTTGAAGGGATGAAGGGATACATTAATGAATTTAATTACCATACAATATTTTCCACGGCCAATTCTGCACCTGAGATTGATCATTTAATCACCAAACATTAAGGTAATACATAATACTTTACTTATGAGTAGTAAGAAAAATTAAAAGGATGTGAAAAGCCAGAAAGATTCATCCCACCACCAAGACCTGAAACTGTCACTTAAAAACATAAAGGTAAAGTGATGAGTCGTATAAAGAGATTTTTCTTCCTTGTTTAGCACATTGTTTTAAGACCTAGTGAAATGTAAAAAGTTATTATCTTTTGGTTTTATGACAGATATGTTTTCTTTTTATGGTGATAAATAGAAACTACTGAACGTTTTGACAGAGGCAGCTGACTGTGCACACAGGCCTCCCAGCTGGAGCTTCAGGGCTTCTGTATTTGCCCAAGTTGGCTGTCTGCTGGTGCCTTCACCCAGCAGAAATGTGCAATATCAGCCTAGTGATTAACATGTGTTTTTCAGGAGTTACACAACGATGTGTACTCAATCCAACATTTGCTTTAAAGACAATACCCATGGGTCCTGTGTTTATCAAGTTCCTACAGAGAAGCCAGATGTTTAACCAATGTGAATATTCTCTAAGTCTAGGCAGCCAGGGCCACCCATGGGCAAAATCGATTTGTCTAAATCCCACCATTGTGAGAAGGGTGAATGTGTTCAGTATGTTAGTGCTGATGGCAAATAGCTTATTCTAAAGCAAGCTACAGGGATTTGATTGAGGCAGTCTGAAAACTCCGGGATGGAGTACATGTCTAGTAGACTCACATTTCATATATGACTCAAATAAAAATTTCTGAAATGTTGAATCATACGAAAAGTAGACTTGAACTTTCAGGTAACAAGATCCACAAAAAAGTCTCCTGGGTGTGACATAGGCTGACATGTAGATCGCCAGCATCGCTCTGGTTCACCTGACCCTAGATTCTCTACTACTACTCACACAATTTTTTAAATTTACTATTCTGATATTTCCTAGATCTATGTAGCTTTATAAAAATTCCAACAAGGTTGGTGTTGTATTTCAGGTAGAACTCTTATTTCACACACACACACACACACATACACGCGTGCACGCGCGCACACACACACACACACATCTGATAAGACACAAGTTATTCAAGTATTGTTGATTTTCTAAATTTTTACTGGAGGAATAAGAAAGTTCTTACTTCTCTTGCAACTTCCTGAAAATGAAACTTATGTCAAGCTGGCCAGTGTTCATTGCTGTTAGGCAATTCCCAGTCAGACAACACATACAACCACATGTGTGCTTTTCTGATCATGTTGTAGAGTAATGCAAACAAATGAACTATCACTAGTGTCATCAGGTGGACACCATTGAAGTACTAAAGAAGTAGTCACAGAGGAAGTAAATTCTTCTTAGGACTCTGAAAATAAACCTCTTCTACTTGTATGAAGGACTCACTTGATTAATAAACAGGGCTTCATATTGTGTCTCTAAAGCTACTGGAGGATGAGAAATGTTCTGGAATAATATATAAAAATCATTTTGTATTGCAGTCATGAGCAAAAGTTTGCCTTTTTTTTTAAGTACTTGGGACTGAACCCAGAGCCTTTGCTCTGAGCTAATCCCTTACCCCTTCTTATTTTTATATTTGAGTCTAGGTCTTACTGCTTTGCTATGTTGCCCAGGCTGGGCTTAAATGTGTGATCCACCTGAGTTAGCCTTCCAGAGTGCTGGGATCACAAGCAAGTCCTGGTCCATAGGTCTTTAAAATGGAAGCAATGTCTTTTATAAGATCTAAGTGTAGGCTATGTGAAAGCATAAAGGGTTAATGAATAAGGACAATGATCTTGCGACATATATGCTTATCTCTGAATTTCTTTAGCTCCTCAGCTGACAGTAAAAACATCAGATTTAGCCCATGTCACCCTGTTCTGTAATGAGTGTTTTAATAAGGAGTTAATACACTGAGCTGTGGCTCAGCCAGGGAATGTAATCCTGAAGGAGACAGACAGCTGGAGAGAGGTACAACAGGCCAAAGAGAAAGAGAACCTGCACAAATTCATGTGTCTGTGAATTTCCCTTCCTTGTGTTTGGGGTTTGGTATGGTTACATAGCAGAATATTACTCAAAGCATCACTTGGGATCAACAATATCAGAGTTTGCAAAACATAGTTTCTAGAGCTCTATTATCAGGCTTACTGACTCAGCAGCTCTGGGGTCAAAGCTCGGGGATGGGAACATATGATCCTTTTGATCCTCCTCATAGTTTGAATATCACTGATAGTGTACGTATTTCATTGAAGTAGAGAATCTGCAAAAAGGCTCTGTATAAGTTTTCCTTCTTAGACAAGTGTAGGGGAGCCCAACATTAACCCCCATATGATAATGAAGGATGAGTAAATGAGCATAATCATGGGGAAAAGATAGAAATTCTGGAAATAAATGTGCGGAGAAAATCAGAGAGAAGAAAGCTTCAGTCATGTAAGCAGCGTTGGAAGTGAAATGCTATCTTGCGGGTGCACTGGAGACAATTATAGCAGCTACAGGGGAATTCATAGGGTATGGCAAGTCTTGGATCAACAGTGTGCTCCTCTTATAACATAGGCCCTTCAGGATGTCTTGAAAATCGAGAATTCTTCATTTTCTGAGGACTGTTCTGGGAAATCTAAAGTCAAGTGCAACCATGCAGAGATGATAACAGAAATGGAAGTCCTCAAACAGCAGGTGAGAAGTTGGAAGTGGCATGACCTGGGGAGAACACTGGCCCACTGTTCATGCTTCTTTGGACACATTTGGATGTCTTATTGTTCAAATATGTCATAGGTTTTCACATTGATTTTAATTAGAATTATCTAATTCATGGGAAGGATAGAGATCAGGTATTTTACTCCTATAGCTTATAAAGGAAGGACTTGAGTCTCAGATGGGTTAAACAGCTTGCCCAAGATCGCACAGTTAAAAGACGAGCATCTGACTTAACCTCTGAGTGAGATTCTGTTGGCACTGAAACTACAGGATTTCATGCAGGCGTGATTTGTTTTGAAAACACTGCTAGTTGGTCCGACGGTTGTGGGTTATTGTTAAACTGAAAACACTGCTAGCCCAAACCATTCAGAAAATAATAGCAGTGTTGCAGTCATCTCCGAGCTACTGACCTGAACAATAACTGAAGTTTTAAAGAGAATATTTTGCAATGATTATAATCCCTAAAGAGCCAGATGTGGTCAACTACCCACACATATGGGTGGTGCCACCACCAACATCTTGGCGCACAACTTCCTTCTCCCCATTCCTCAGACCTCACTCACTACTGCCCAGGGGACAGCAAGCACTATGATGTGCTGTCTACAGTTTCTACATTGATCAGCACAGGACTGCAAGATATAGCATTGCCTCAACTATTTACACTAAATTTAGTTCAGCTAGCTGAAGTTTGCCTGCTGGAGGCCTAGCCATGCATTTCTTTTCCTCTGAGAGATTAAATAAATCAATTAGGTCAAAGATTTAGAGCAGTCCATGGTGATATCAGCAAATATAAGCTACACAGAGGAACCATGATTTCTGAAGTACAAATTGAAAATAAGGTATTAGCTGGGGAACAGAGTGTCATAGAGTAAAGGGCTGGAATGTATTGCATTTCTGATATTTCTGTTATTTATTGACTAGTTTTCCCCAAGCAAGTTTCAACAACAGTATTTTTGCTGTGGTGCACAGACTAATGGAGCACTTGTATTATAGCTAACTTACTTTATTGTCATTGGTTCATAGGACTTAGCCTATATGCAAATAGAGCTAAACAATCAGAGCACTTTTTGGTAAAGTTGAGCTTGCTCTCCTAGCAATCACATTTGGATAATCTACTTCATTACTTTCAGATCATGTATATGACTTAAAATAAGCCTTGAAGAGCATAAGGGTAATACTCAAATTGTTAAAGCTCTGTCAAATTCTCCATTCCTAAAGTCCTATTGGTGCTAGCCAGGATTCTATGGGGAGTAAGGCGGCTGCTGATGTTCAGACACGTGAATCATCTTCGATGCCTACATGATGCTTCTCTGTGGGTGACAGTTGTTCTGATACATGGGGTTACAGTCATGCTGTAGCTTGAGACTGGTGTAGACAGCAGCAAATGTCCTAGAATCACCAAGAATTGACTGAAATTCACCTCCTCACTGGTAGTAGGGCTCAGTCACTAACTTTCTGCATTTTAACCACACATGTTTCTAATCAGGAACCTACAATTATTACATCAACAAATCCCATATGTATCACTGGGCGCTTTGAATTAACAAAGAAACTGAGTTAGAATGTTAGGCCCTGCTTGAATAGAGCGATGACAGGGCTCACAGCTAGCGGTCAATTCTGATCAGATGGGCTTCTCCTGTTAAAAATGTCACTGGTAGTCATTGACAGAGCATCAGTCTGTGTCTTGAATTGAGCCTCAGCTCTCAGCTAAAGAATAAAATAAAAATATTAGCTTGGTTTTAAGTAGTTTCCTTGCAATGCTGCTATCAAATAAAACATTTTTATCTATCAAGAGCTATGTGCAGTACTTAATTTTTTTTCCTGCCTTTACACTTTGTTCTCTTTTTATTGACCTAAATAGGTACATCTCTGGTTAAAATGTGTTGAAATGTTCCTGACAAAATTTCAATGTGAGTTAGGTAGAGTGATAGACACCTGTAATCCCACCTGCATGGGAGACTGAGGCAAGAGGATTGAAAGTTCAAAGCCAGACTGGCTAATTTAGCAAGACTCTGTCTCAATAATTAAAAGGAAAACAGCTGAGGATATAGTTTGGTGGTAGAGTGCATCTTGAATTCAATCCTCAGTACACCAGTCACCACCACCACACCACCACCACAACAATAATAGTGTAAAGAAGTAGCTCCACAGCAAACCAGCTCTAAAGGGCTGGGATTCATGCTCAGTGGTTGAGCATTTGCCAGCATGACTACAATACTGGTTCCAATCTCTGTGAGGTTTCAATATAAATAGGAATTTAAATCTGAGAAAATCTTTTGCTTCATTTTCTCAGTTTCATTTGCTTTTATAGTTTCAGATGCTAGTTTCTAAGTCATCACTCAACAACAATAACTAATTTTTTTTTTAAGTTTGGTCACTTTTCTGGAACATTTGCAATACTGCATGTAAAGTATTCTTCTGGTAAAATACCTCAAGAATGACTCATAGAAGACAAAACTTTTGAATACTTTTCAACAGTTGTGCTTTGTTTTTCCACAAGCATCAACCTGTTATTTCTGTACTTAACTTAAAACTTATATTTGGAAAATGTACTGCGTCTGTGTGTAGTGGGTTCACTTAGCAGCTGTTGCCAGTCCACCCTCCTGGATCCGGTCCACCAGTACTCCTCCTCCATCAGAGCCTGGTACTGAAGAAGGAGGACTTGCTCCAAGGCAGTAACACCTAAAATTAGGCGGGAGTGTGTCACAAACAGACCATGCAGCAGAATAATGAGTGAGAGGAATTATTTTTTAGCACATACATGTTGTTTATTCATTTGTGAATTCTGGATGTGTCCTTGAGGAGGGAAAATTGAAAGACTTTTACTCTGAAAAATAAACTTCTAGTTATGTGTACTTCCCATCTTACCATGAATAAGTAGTCACAAACACAGGGGGGAAGGTCTCCCACTGCAAAGGCCCAGAGAGTGCTGTTTCTGAAATCATTTCAATGGCCAAAGAGAAAAGTCAGCTAACAGTAACAGCAAGTTAATGTATTTTAGGTGAAAATATATGAAGAAGACTTCAAAAAGGAGCGCTCAGATCGAGAAAGACTTAATCAGGAGAAAGAAGAGCTACAGCAAATTAATCAAACTTCTCAATCCCAGCTGACCAGGCTGAGTTTTCAGGTATATGTCAAAACAAAGTAATCGGCCAAACACAAGCATGTTTTATTTCTACTTTCTCATTTAAAAAGTACTGGCATCTTTTTTACTTCTGTTTTTGAGAGGGTAGCACGGTGTATGAAATCCTTCTACAATCTTGCAAGGAAATGAAAATGATTGGAAATTTCTTTTAACTGCAGTGTGTTAGGGAATTGCTGAAGACATTAGATTCCAAAGTCTTTTATAAAGTACAGTTCTTGTGATCTTTTTTTCATAATATTTATCTTGGTAGAATGGGAGTTGAACTACCTACTTCTCAAATATAATGAAGTGGTTTCTAAATTCTTGTCCTTTTCTTTGAAGGGGTATGTTGGAATGCTCCTATCTTTTAAAAAAAATACATTTTTTCTAAATGCCCTGTATTTGTCTAGTGAAACTTTAGGATTTTGCTAACTCAGACTTAAGGTAAGTAGAGCAGTTTCATGAAATCCAGTTTATTAGAATAGGATATAATAAATGTAAGCGAACTAAAATTGAGTGTAATAGAATATGTTCAAAGTATACTCAGGAAGTTGCAACAGTGAGTAAATATTGATGTTAGTGAGGAAAATGCAGCTAACAATTTTGACTTAAGGGAATAAAATAAACCGCAATATTTTCTTTTTTTTATTTCTCCTTAGTTTTATTGAGAAACAAATAGCAATGAGACTGTTTCAAATCAAATTGGTAGGACAGTTTCAATAATTAACACATTACATACATTCTTCCTAGTG